TTTGGATTTCATCATTAAATTAATTTTAAGTGACTTTTATGTTAGAAGGTAGATGTTGCAAAGCAAAAAATACAATAAATCATTTTTTTTGTAATTCTTCATGTCATGGCCTTAAGATACAGTTCATATGTTGTTTGGCTACTCTTTGGGAAACATTTAGCTTTCAAGCTCTAATCCTTGGCATTTTGTCATCGATAAATACATGGGAACAAATAATGCTTATGAAAAAAGGTGCCAAAATTTATGAATTACAATAGTTTATTTGCTTAGTTGGCTGTTATGTGTAGACACCGAACTGGTCTGTCCATTAAGTTAGTTGCAGTTTTTTTTTCTTTATTGATTCATAGATCAGTGTTAAATGTGTTACAAAAAACATTACTCTGAAAATGGTTAGAGACTGAATGAGTGAAAAAGCAGCTCATATCTAAAGAAAACTATTGCTCGAGACCCATTCAAAAATTACAGTAACGAATTCTGACACCTTGGAAACAAAATATAAAGAAATGTATAAAGAAAACATGCTAAATAGTCTGTTTTGTTACATTGACTATTCAGTATGTAAACAAAAAGATGCAACAGTTACAGTTCAAGGAGTAGTGTGCTGAAGTTAGTATGAAAATGTCATTTATTTTCTTTTTTCTTTTTAAAAAAAATTGAATTATGACTTTAAGGTCTGAGATTGGAAAAGATGTACATCCTTGAGATTTAGCAACATTTAAAAGCCTTCATTTCAGTTACTCTGTATTCATTTTTTTTAAATATGCAAATAACCTTTTTTGAGATTTTTTTTTAAATACGTCATTGGGGTGTGGAGTGCTATCTTATTTTCTTTCTTTCTTTCATAACATACCATTCCCTGAGATAACATGATTCATGAGATTCATGAGAATCATTGTGAACATGAGTCAGCTCAGTAGTCCTACAAAGAATTAATGGTGCCTCTCCAGACAGTAATGCACCACCATACCATCAGAGATGCAGGCTTTTCAACTGAGTGCTGATAGCAAGCTGGATGGTCTCTCCCCTCTTTAACCCAGAGGATGCAAATGTTTGCATGTTTTCCAAACACAACTTCAAATTTCAATTCATCTGACCACAGAACAGTTTTCGACTGTGTCTCAGTTTATTTTAAATGAGCTTTGACCCAAAGAAGATGGAGCATTTCTAGATCATATTAATATATGGCTTCTTGAGAGATGTGTGGAGATACTGGACTTTTGAAGAAACTTGCCCTGTGGAATCAGGACCTTCAATAATGATGAACTTCTGTTTGGATTGTTGTTTCACCTTCATACTGTAAATAAAGTCACTGAACCTTATCTGAGTGGTTCCTTGAAAACATTTGCAAATGACAGCATTCTGAATTTTTTCTCACATTTTGCACAACATTCCAACCTTTCAAGAATTGGGTTTGTAATTGCCCAAGAATGTAACACTGCCCATTATGATAGCTGAATATATGGTTTATATCCCTCATTTTAGCATTCCAGTTATATGCAGCTCTGTCTCCTCTGTAGCACCTCAGGGATAGTGGGTCTCCTTCTATTTATTACTAATGTATTCCGTGCCATCAGTTAGTCCTTTGTGTAGAAACATTATGTATAAGTACACATGCACTTGTCAGATATGTCATACATTTCTTTTGTATTTATGCATAGGAATTTGTATACTATGTAATATGATTCTGTAGTCAGTAACTTGCATTAAATTGCAGTAAATTGAATCTCCACAGACTTAAGGTTCTATGCCCGCAGCTCATCACTGGGTTGTTTAGAAGACTTAGATTTAGATGAAATGCCATACACGGCCATATAAAGAATTCACAAACCCACCACTAAGTAATGATGCATTGCTTATGGTATACACAGTTAAATACATGACAACCAAGCAATATCAACAGTTTAACAAAACATTTTTTGTGTTCCCTAAAAAAACCAAAATAAAGTCATTTGTCTCATTTTAGGGTGGCCCACTCGCCTGTGGGATCAATGGTATTTGATACCCTGTTGATATTGTTTCCTGGGGCACCTCTAACTACCGTTGCAGTATATTGCTGTGGGTCCTTCCTTTACAATGGGATTGACAGATTACTATTTACAACAAATGTTGTAAACAATGGTCTAGTTAAAATCTGCAAAACACAGATTGAGTCAGTGCTTTTTGTGCTTTTCTTTGCTGCCTTTGTGGAAAAATCAAACAAAAAATTCAATTTACGGGCACAGTTGGCAAAAGGAAAATGTAGATAAGCAAAAACAATGGCTATAAACAGTGAAATATACAACACAACCACAATAATAATAATAATAATAATAATAATAATAATAATAATAATAATAATAATAATAATTCTTTGAAAGTGCCTTTCAAGACTGCCAAGGACACTTAACAATATAATAAAATACATAACAGAACAATGGCAACAAAGAAAAATAAGAAAACAAAAGCACAAGATAAAATAAACAAACAATAGGTTAACAGTGAATATGCAAATTTGAATAGATGGGTTTTGAGTAGGGATTTAAACTGGGTGAGAGAATCAATGTTTCTTATATCTGGGGGTAGAGAGTTCCACAGGTTGGGAGCAGAGCAGCAGAAAGCTCTGCTTCCCATGGTGGTGAGGCGGAAAGAAGGCACAGCAAGCTGGATAGAAGAAGAGGATTGAAGTGAGCGGGCAGAAGAGATAGTGCTTAACAGGTCAGAAAGGTAGGAGGAGCGAGTTTGTACACTATCCGGAATTTCACACGGAGCCAGTGAAGTTCCTGGAGAACAGCGGTGATGTGCTGGCAGGAGGGGGTTCTGGTAATAATGCGGTCAGCAGAGTTTTGAACCAGCTTACTTAATAATTGGTAGCTTAAAAACATGTTTTTAAGTTGTTTACTCGTAAAAATTATGTTCCTCCATTACTTTTTCCACATTATTTAAAATGATTTTTAAGTGTTATATAATTAATTACAGCACTTACAAAAACATTTTTAGGTTAATCATTTAAAATATTAAGTTGCTGATTTTCTTCATTATTATCATCATTTTAGCTTTCGCTTATTTTTGTTACTGTAATAGATTTTAAGAAATGAATTCATTCAACATTTCTTTTAGAAGAAAACTTTTTTATTTTTTAACTGTAGGCAAATGTGTTTAAGGCAAGGCAAGTTTATTTGTATAGCACAATTCAACAACAAGGTGATTCAAAGTGCTTTACAGAGACATTAAAAACAAAAACAAATAAAAAGCATGATTTAAAATTGATTAAAACAAGCAAACTAACTAACTAACTAATTAACAAACAAACAAAACAGTATATAAAATCAAAACAGATAAAATCAGAACAGTACATAAAATCACTAGTTAAAATGTAAGTTTTTAAATGTAAGCTTAAGTGTGGATTTGGTGCTTTATTTAAATGCAGCTGAGAACAGGTGAGTCTTCAACCTGGATTTAAATAAACTGAGTGTTTCAGCTGATCTGAGGCTTTCTG